GCCATTTAGCAAACAGCAGAGTTTGACAGCATCAAAACAACACAAACGTTACCGGTGGTGAGGCAGTGTAATGCACAACAGTACTTAGATATCCACAATGTACACGTGAACTGCGTTATATATATAACGTATTACGTGCTTACAATTGATCAGGTACCACAGGGGCAGGGACACATACCTTATATTTGTGTCAAATATTAACTGGAGGTCCTTCTCCCAACCCACGACAGGAATGTGGGAATGTAGAGGACCGGTAAAGGAGGCGAGGGCTGCCTACTGGTCAATTGAATGAAAATTGCGTGAATATAAAAACACTCGATACAATATATATGTATTTATAGGACTGCAGAGCTTGGACAGTTGTTGGCTCAGGCTCACCACGTGGTCGACTTGCTACTTGTCTGCGGGTCCTCGCCCCCTCTTGAGTCGTTCTCTCTCGGCAAGGGCGAGCGAATACTGTCCACATAAAGATTCTGATTCTGTGAGCATTACAAGTGTAATCTATGTATTATTATTATTATTCAGTGCGCTGCTGTATGAGGAGACTTCAGACGATAAAGGTGAAAGCTACGGTGGGCTGATGTGATGCCTTTAACGCCGATGCTCTCAAACGACATTCAAGCTGAAACGAGTTTGTCGGGGACTAATAATGCGCTATGCACCTCTCTAAAGAAAACCAATACGTTGAATCCTTCAACAGAAAATATCAAATGTTATTGAATTAGTTGAAGGAGAAGCTGTTGTTATAAAGACGCTCGCACCCGACTGCTTTCCCTGTGTTTTCCTTCATGCAAGGCTTAAGAACCACTGGGGTATGGGCGAGACAGGGAGCTGTCCATTTCAGAACCCCCCGCAACGCCCTTTCATTTGCGCTGCATTGGCATGAATAGTTAGCTAATCAACAATAACGCACGCACGTACACTGCATGTAACACAAGTAAAAAAAAATATTTCCTGGTTAGCATTACCGACTGTCAAGACAAGTGCTGCTAGCGAGCTCTTTGTGAAAGTCAGCGAGGTATGTGAAGGGGTGGGCGGGTTGGTCAGCGTCATCATGCCAGGTGCTCATGTTGTACTTCAGCTGATACTAATTGCTATCAATGTACATGGGCAGTGATCGAACCCTGGACGTTGTCACGGTATAGGCTATCTCTCAAGTCTCCCTTGCAAGACATTTCAGTGGGGTTTTGCCTGTTTAATAAGTCGTGGGAAACATAATATATCATCCATGTAGACGACATTACGTTTTTAAAATTTAAATGTTACGAAAAATATATTAAAAATCGACACTGCTGCATCATCCATCCCGCATGTCTTGAACCCCTGAGCCTCTGGAATCCTCAGTGGGCTCCATAAACACACACACACTCCGGATGCCATTTGCCATTCATTGCGATTCCTAATGCCCCAAGACGCTACCGAGACTCTGCATTATTAAACAACAACAAAAAGCATCTTAACAAAAGAGAGCTCTCACCACGTAATAGCGCAGTAGGGCGTGGTGAGGTTGCGTTGGGTAATATCTTCGTAAGCTATTTATAGGCGTTCTTCCTTCCCGTTGGTACGGCTAAATAATGTAGACGGTATTTTGCTGGATTGTCATGCCGTAAAGTCGGCCCATACGTGTCCTCACCTAATGCACCGTCCAGTTAACTACCCGTATTCTTGCTTTGTTCATTGTATGAGGGGGGGGGGCAGGGAGTGGAGGATATGCACTGGAAATTTCGTTACCACTGCCAGCGGCTATATTTCTGCAAGGCACGCGTTAATGAAGATGACTGTGCAAACATGAAAGCAGAACGTGTTGGAGCAACGGGGTGGCTCCCGTCTCACTCGCTGGTCCCCACGAGCCAGTGGTAGAAATTCCACATTCCTATGACGGAAGCCAGTATTTCTATATAACGGCGATTGTTGAACTAATTTCTCGCGATGTGGTGGTAGTGAATTTACCCATCCCAACGGGGATTATGGGCTGTGTCGAACTCCGACCGAGATTTTAACTTAACCAAACTGCGCCACCCAGTATGGATGGTATTATCACAGTATTGTGGCACATTAGGTAAATGAGTCGCTATTCATATTCATTTCCGATTGACTACCTAAATATGCATACAGAACAGTCGTCTATAAAATAGCATCAATATATTTGCAATCCATATTCTGAATAAATTACACATTTACGTGTTGCAGTGAGTAGAGTCGTTTTTTTTTTGAGTGACGGTTGCAATAATAACCCCGTTAGGGTGCTCGCTAGCATTTGGTTAGCGAGCCTTACAGTTGAATTGGATTGCATGGTGAATTGTCTTGTGAGACTTGGGTAAACAGTGATAGCACGTATGCAACATGTCGGCGAATATTGCACAGAGGCCGCCGCCCCCCCCTCTGCAACCCCAAAGCCCTTCACCTCTTGCACAGGACTGCCTCGTGTGGCAACGACCAGCAGAGCCAGCGGACACGGAACGCGATTTAATGAGAAACGCAGCGTCTTGGAATGCCAGGCACACAGTGCAATCCCTCCACCCAGAGGCATAGCAAGACCCAGACAGAGCCTTTGTCCAGCTCTGTTATTACAGTGAAATGCATGAATTGAGATGTGTCGGCGACGCCAAATCGTATTGCTGGATAACATCTCGAAAGTGTCCTGTGCGGGTGTGCGTATTGTGTGTCCGGGCGTGGCGTTGACCACATTATCCACTCACACACGTGTGTCGCGCCAGGATTCTCAATTGGTTGCTCGCTACAAACGTTTGTCTCATGCGGTCCACGGGGTGATGCAATGGGAGATATTTTGTTTAGCATGGTCTTCTCCATTGATACGTATGCACAGTATGTTCGTCACTGTCTCGGTTCCATGATCCCAGAGATCTGGGTTCGATTCCTGATCACGCGTAACCAACACTAGTATTATTAAAGCGAGTGGGCGGGCCTATTCTAGATCGGTCAGCCTCGCCTGAAACTGGCCTAAAACGATTCTCGCTAACGGCACTCGCCTCAGCAGTCTATAGGCTAAACGGGGTGGATATTTTGGATACATTAAGTGTAAGGGAGACGCGCACGTTTTGATATTTTTACTGCCGTTAGACGCCGTGGGTCATTAAGCCCATTCGGCTTTTACATAAAATATATATTTTGTTGTCCGAGATGCTCGAGGAAAAGGTATACACTGCAGATTACCCACGGAATGGATTAGCTGCCGGGTTTTATTTTTTACGCTCATTTGCGTCCCTTTAAAATGGGTGTCATGGGGGATTTGCGGGCGCGATGACAAGTCCACCGCCACCCAAAGCCGAGCGGTCACCCATGGACTAACACTGGTCTACTCTCACTCGACTCCCCCTCCACACGCCCCCCATCTCTCTCCCCCTCATCTCACCTCACTCCTTCGCGTGCTCTCTCTCTCTGTTCCAGCAACCAAGACCTTCTGTCGGACCAACCAGTGAAACATCATTCCTTCTCTGCGACCTCCGTATTCTGGAACTCGCTCCCTCATATCCGTGTTGTCTACTCCCTGACCCCTGTTCAAGTGCAAAATCAAGGCATTTCTCTTCTCCCTGTACCTACTATCGTGTCGTCTCGTTTTCCGCGATACACAAAACCAAATGTGCTGAGCGCCTTGAGATGCGGTTGCAATGAACACGCTACGCATCCAAATTAGATTACAATTGTCCCTCCGCTCACCGCAATTGGCCATTGCATTTAGAACACAGCTCAACAGGTGAAAGCGCACAGCGTTCAGCGTAATCGCAATCGCCTTTCACTGCTGTCAACGTAGCATACGCGCGTTTTAAACGTGCTGCTTCGACGGGGGTACGTGGCTGTGCGATGCGGTTCATGTTGAATTCAGGGCGGCCTCTCTCTCTCGCCACGAGTCGAAAACAGTCGCCTGCCCGCCAATCGGTTCCGTGCGATGAGCGAGAGACGCGGGCGCTGTCCACACGCACACGGGTGCTGAAACCACGGCATGGCGAACTCGCGTGTGACCGTACACCGCCGCAGCCATTTTGCCAGTCGTGTTACGAAAGGTGTACGTCTATGAAATCGTTCTCTATCATCCACCTTACCACCTCCTCCTTCTTGAACGACCACATTCGCCCGTCCACAAAACCGCCCCAATCTAACAAAGCACCCACAACCACCCACACCCACCCACCCACCCACGCACTCAGCCATCCAACCCCCCACACACACGCGCGCGCGCGCGTCCAACACCCCCCCCCCCCCCACCGTCACCACCCAAATCGAATTATTGAGACTCTCCCCATCGCACCAGCTGTGTAATAACACAATCACTGCTACGTTCGCGTGTTTTGCCGCTTCCCACCAACGTCCATCATGCGCCTGCCGGCCCCGGGAATCCATTCACGCGATCACAAGCCGCTCACTCGTCAAGCACCAGCATTCGATTCCGCAGGCTTTTGTTGCCCTAATACCATTTGTAGATATCGTTAATATGCGATGTATTTATTTATAGAAAGCCGCACTCTCTACGGTTCAATATGAAGCCATTTGCAAGGGGGCTGCTTCATTTGGCTCTCTCGTATCCCACTCCCGCCTTCCTCTGTTCGCTCATTCTCGCCACCCCCTCCCCATCCGTTCCATCTTCCAGCCCAGCGCCCCTCCCTCTGTCGTCTTTCTCCACATCCCTCCCTTTCTTTCGGGCTCCCTCCATCTGGCTCTGCCTTTTTTAGTATTATCATTGTTATTTTAATCGCCAGTATTCGGAATTTCTCGTTCTCGTGCGTGCGCACGTTAGCTTGGCTTGTGCTACGGGCGGATCCGGTTAATATGGCGGAGTAGAGATGCAAAAAACACGCAATTATATATATTTTTTATACAAGGGGCAAGGGGAGGGGTAGATACGGGGGGGACCCACCCATTCCCACCCATTCCCACCTTCCATCTCTGAGACGCACACACGCACACACCCGCATGCACACACACGCAAAACACGATTTGTAACAAAAAAACACACATCCTCTGTGCGGTCGATGCTTACTCACTTCATTTGCTTCACAATGGTGCTTTTTCCAGATTCTCCAGCGCCTGTAAAATAAAAAAATAAAAATTACAAAAATACGTATGAGCAACAAACACCAACGAAAAAAAACACACGGGGGAGGATTTTTTTTTTCGTTTTCTTTCAGCGCATATAGAACGAGGGACAAAAGGCAATTGGGAGAGAAAGAAAGAAATCACTCGCACAAAGAGGGGAAGGGGTAAAGCCGACAGACACCGCATCGTGCATGCAAACGTGTCCAGAATGCTGCGCCCGCAGTTTACAAAATCGTGCACGCGACTTCGCGGCGAACGCACCATCGAGCTGATCGGTCACGTCTGAATGTCGGTGCAATGAGTGGCTGTTGATGGTTGATAGTTTGATGGTGGTATTGATGATGGTAAGTGATGGTGGTTGGTTGGTGATGCCAGCTGGCGCCGAGTGCCATTCTCACCGAGCAGAAGCAGCTTGACATCTTTGGCGGCGCTGATGCCATCCTCTTTGATCATTTTCTCGAGATGCTTACTGCGCTCGATGGCGGCCCTCTCCTCTGCGCTCAAAGTACATCCCATGCTGGCGGACGGCGCTGCCCGATGCTGCTGATGCTGCTGTTGTATTCGCGATTCGCTATAAATCCTCTCGTTCCGACGTTCCGCTCCGACGAATGCGAAAAATCTTCGCCGCCAGATCTCGAGCCGACGTCTCGACGCGAAAAAAAAAGCGAGCGCACGACACGGCCGATTTTTTTTTTGCAAATAAATTCTTAAATCATGAAAAGATATCTTATTTTTCCCCCCTCCCTTTGCCTCTCTCGCAACACGCACTCTTCTCCTTTGTATATTGCCCCTTCTCTCTCTCTCCGTATCCAAATCCGTCGGTGCTATATGTGGGTTTTTTTCGTCTTAATTAAATAATATTTGAAAGATTAAGTATATACAAAAAAAAGGAAAGATGTAAAACGCGAGCGGGTGAGAGTAGGGATCCCAGGCAAGGCTGGCGGGGGAGGGGGTTGAGAGAGGCAGGCAGGGCCCGCTAGCGTTGCAGGCAGCCGACAGAAGACGGGCAGAATGGAGAGACGCCACCTCCTCTCCCTGTGAAATGGCGAAGCCGTGACGTCAGGCAGTGAGAGGCTCCCTCCCCACACCCCTCCCTCGTTCCCCCTCCATCCTCGCTCCCCTCCATCTCATCGGCGCGTGCGCGGCCGTGCTCCCCTCTCTCTCTCTTGCACCCTCCCCACCCCATTCCTCCCTCTCTCCAGCACCACCCAGTTCTGCACGGAGTGTAATCATTATTGTACGCATACAGTGGGACATCTTTATATATACATACAAATACGGGCACAGATACGGATGTACGTTGTAAGCCCTGCCTCTGCCATGGGCGTGTGCAGCCCGAAACGTGTGGCTGATGCGGTGTGTAAAGTATCAGTGATGGGGGAAGACAAAGGCGATCGGGCGTGATGCTGCCCGCGCCAACCGCTAGTGAGCCGTGCCGATCTTCATTGGTGCTCGCTAACAGCCTGACAAGTCTTCACAGGGGCGAGGGGGAAGGGATCTACGTCTGTGTGTGTATATGCAAATACCGGTGTCAATTATTTATCCAAGCAAAGCGTCATTGAGTCTCAAGGTTTTGTTTTGGGGGGGGGGGGAGAAAGGCCCCCCGCATTGTGATGTTTGAACAATTGCTTTTTTTGAATGGGGGTTGTAGGGGACACGGCTGGGAAACACAACAGAGTATACCGAGGGGAATTTGTTGAATGCAGATCGGGATTGAGAGGCAAGCGAGAAGACGGTGGATTTCTTTGGGACATCGTATTGATCATGAAAAGCAATGAATCAGTGTTTCTCAATTTATCTTTCAACCAGGTGAATATTAACCAGTTCAGAAATATGTATTCCGAAAAAAAGAGGTTCGATCCTAAACTGGAAGAAAAAAAAGGTAAAGATTCATGGAGAGATGCTTGATGGGAATTACACCGAAAGACAGAGGATCACGTGAATCAGAGAGCTAATACAAAAGAGAGACACGATATCGACCGTACAAAAAAGTGTGCTTGGGTAGGACACATGGCTACAGAGGGTGACAGTCGATGGACAACATTGGTGACATTGGTGACAGGCAAAGCAGAGAACGTGCCCCAGAGTATGGCAACCAACGTGACTGAGCAATAAGATCGGCTCGTGTGCAGGAGCGAGATGGATGTTGACATTGCAGGCCTCCCTCCCCGTGTTGTCATCAATAGGCCTTTATCTAACAGTAGATAACACATGGCTGACGATATAACGGTATATATGTGCGTGTGATATTTTCAATGGGATGTTTACACACACACACATACACGTATACATGTATTCACACTGTACTCAAAGTGCACACGTCCTCATCAAATATCTGTAACTAAGCAGAAGTTGAGTGGATAGTTCTTGGATGAGTGTCCGCGATGCATAACGAGTCTACATTGTGGGCAACGGGGGCTTATAAGTTCCCCATTTTCGTTAGCCTAGACTGACTGGCGTGGTGAAATATGATTTAAAAAAACAACTCTCACGACCCACGTGGCGTGGGAAGGCTCTCAGAGGCCGTTACATATCCATATTATCTCACTGCTACATTCCGGTGTATAACTCATAGATGTGCATATGCAGTACGTGGCACTACATGTAGTGGAGCTCAATGATATTGGCAGCCCTGAACCAGTGGTGGGCATTCTATAATAAAAAGAAAATGTTTTACCATGTAAGGCCCACTGAGCTGTGTAGCTCTTTTTCAGAAGGCACCTGGCCACAAATGAGAGCTCAACAAATGTTGCTCATCGTGAGGAAATGCGTAGCAGCCAATAACTCTGAATGCGTGTTTCTAGACGTGGAGGGAAAACCCGGAGGACCCGGAGAAAAATCCACGCGATCACGGGAAGAACATGGAAACTCCAAATATACAGCAGGCGTCAGGGACGGAAAAAAACCCACAACCTCCTGTATACCAGGCGAGGGAGTTAACATCGCACCACCGCGCCATAGCAATGGCAGCATATCCATAACACATCACACATAACACATAACAGCGGTATTATAATAGCGGAAAGGAGTGCTGGAGCCCATATTAAAATTAAATCTTGCACTTTCAGCAAGATGCTCTTGAATATTTAATGCAATTACAAATGCAATATTCTAAATTGGCAGATGCCTCATACATTTTAAATGGTACTGTATGTGTGCCTACTAAGCAGGCTAATGACATGATCCAACCGATTCACAAGAGCGAGTGCGCTGTGACGGGATGCGTCGCTCGAAAGGACGATGATGTCCAATGGTGACTAATAACGGAATGACAGCCCAGGAATGGAAGGGTCCGAGAGAGAGCACGCCCACCTCAGGAGATTCAGCCATGAAATCATTTCACACGGAGGTGCTGGGTGGATTGTTACATCACAGGCTCGCGAGAGGTGGCGGTGGACGTGGGGACGTGTTCATCCAGCAATGGATTGATCATGGTTGATGATGATGACGTGTTCGAGTGCAATGATTAGCATGCATTATCCTATTTGTATGCGGTCTATGGAGCAATTGAGATACATGTATATTGAACATATGGGCACAGTTCACTTATGTTTCCATCTGCTCAAAGCCACGACCGTCTACAACTAGCGACGAACACACGACCGCTCGCTCGTTGACTACGGTCTGCATTTTGACAATGTATTCATGCAATGTCAGTGTAGATGTTCAATTCTTGTAAATGTTTATTATCATTTATAAATAACTTACTTTGTTTCAGTTGATGGTGCATAATTAGCCGCGGTTGTTAGATATTACAATCACGTTGGGATCTGAGCCAAGAAAGCATTAGCTAATGCAAAGGGTGTCATGTTTACACGCGGTGAGAATGCGAGGTCGCTCGAGAAAAAGGAATGAAGCAACACACACACACGCACCTGAAGGGCAGATTGCATTTGTATTACACAGCCATGTCTCTCCGGAGACTACGAAAAGGTGTGGACAAGTGTCCGTAAAATGTGACATTCTCAATAGTTGATCGCGGCATCCTTTTAACCGTCTTGTCAGTGGTCCGGCCAGGTGTCACCTTTGTGAAAGTTTCACAGCTCGCAGATTGAACGCACGCACGCACGCGCGTTGAACTTTCTTTCGCACCGGACGTCACCAACCGCGCTAATCCCAAGGTGTGGGGGGATAGACAAAACTAAACACAAAAAGCAATTCTAAATACATTCCGTGGTTAATTCGGTAAAGTCACGTAGATAAGAAAAAATAAAAGGTAATAAAATAACAACTACGACGTTTCGATCACAACACAAGCGACGTGACTTTACCGAAAGAGCCAACGACTATGAATTCCTGCAGCCGCGAAAGTTTGAAGTCAAAATTAGTTTTCAATTTCGATTTAAAAGTGCATGGCTCGAGTGGCTTCCTAATGTCGGAAGGGAGAGCGTTCCAGACGGACGCAGAAGCGCATCTGAAAGCGCCACGCGATGCGGTGACCGTCTTTGGCCAATGCCCGGAGTTCCCGGGATCGTTTATGCTTCTGGACGAGATCATTTACGTCAATCGCTTCGCGTGCAATGGGGTTTGCCATCGATTGATGTAAAATGTTGAGAGCAGGCGGAAGAGATAACTAAAGCAGTTAATAAAAATAGGGGGTGAAAAAACACACTGCTGACCGTCGATGCTGTTGTGAAAGCAAAACGTGGAAATGGGGCAGCACACATCACGATGACACGTGGCTGACGTAGAGATGAGAGACCGAGAAAAGGGGGAAGGGAGACACAAAAAACACAGAGGAGAGACGGGGGGAAGAGATGGCAACACAACAGAGTCTTGGGGGGCCACGGCTGGATAGGATCAGCTGCGGAAAGGAGGGAATGGAAATGATTGGGGGGGGGGGCGTTTCCCTAGCCGCGAGAAGTTACATGCCTACACAATAATAAAAAGCAATCTTTAAAAAAAACAGAAAAGTCAAAAAACATTCGCATGCAATTATCAGCACAATCAGCAAGATATCACTTTCAGGAGCTAATGTAGCACACATTCACTGCTGTTAGGGTACGTTTAGATAAGGTTGTGAATAGAACCTCCCAATGAGGGTTAATTGGTATCTAACCTAATTATAGATTAAGTTCAAGGGAGCAGCACCCAGTGAGGGCAACTTAATCCATGGTCAGGGGGGAATGCGATTCATTGACGAATCAGGGCACTTCATGGCACGTAGCGTCTTTTTTTTTCTTCAAAGTGGCGCTATTTTAAAATACTTATTGCGATATAAACGATAACATGCATCATACTGTACTGGATGTGAACACTAATCATTAAATATTAATTCATATATATTTTGTCTCGGGAATAATTCAATCACTATGGCCCATCGATCCTGTTAATCAGACACCGGATGAAGCACATGTGTAGTGAGCAAAAAGGTAATATTGCTGTAAACGTACCCCCCCCCCCCCCCATCCAAATGGTACATTCTACAACTTATTACACTGTATATGTGTTGTGCAATCAATGCTGACTATTTCATGTGTGAGCAGAGGTGAAGGGCGAGTTCATTTTTTTCTGGAGGGGAGGGGGGGTTCTTTATTGGATCATTTTGGAGAGCCGCCTTTTGTTTCTTTTTTGCCCATTCGCTGTATACGTCCCTGCAGGCTCCCACCTTCTTAATCTGCCACTACGAGTGAGTGACTAATAACGCACAGCACGAGCGCTGTGCACTGTGTTCTTTGCGTCGGTGTGTGTGTGGGGGTTGGGGGGGCTCTTTGAATGCCTTAGAATTCATTGTAAAATGCCTAAGGCTCGAAGAGCCACACACTAAGGTGAACAAAGCGGACAAAACGTGGCACACATCGATGTGGTGTCATCCACTTCTGGCGAGGGCAAGGCAGCGACGCTATTGAAGACAAACTGTGTTTCTGCTGCTTCCACGGGGAATGGGATCGTGAGCATCACTGCCAGCAATCGTGCAGAGCCACTGGTGGCAAATCCACATCATGGCTTATTGCGGTGGACCGTGGGCAAACACCTTTCGTTCGGACGACCGCATATCCAACTTGCTGGGAAGAGAGGTGCAGGCGAATGTGGCAATG